CAGCTCTCTGCAGGTCATTCACTAGGTCCCCTGTGTGGTTCTGGGATTTTTGCTCACCGTTCTTGTGATCATTTGACCCCACTGGGTGAGATCTTGCATGGAGCCCCAGATCGAGGGAGATTATCAGTGGTCTTGTATGTAAAAAGCAGCAGAGATAGAGGAAATGTTGCCCAACTAAATGCTAAAGTCAGTTAAAGAAAAGCAAGAAAAGGCATGCAAAGAAATAGAGGATAACAATCAAATAGGGAAAACAGTTTTATTTAAGCAAAATGCAGAAATTAAAAGAATCTTTTGTGCAACAATGACCATGAGGTGCTGAGTCATCACACTGATACAGAAAAAGCAGCAGAGATAGAGGAAATGTTGCCCAACTAAATGCTAAAGTCAGTTAAAGAAAAGCAAGAAAAGGCATGCAAAGAAATAGAGGATAACAATCAAATAGGGAAAACAGTTTTATTTAAGCAAAATGCAGAAATTAAAAGAATCTTTTGTGCAACAATGACCATGAGGTTGTCTCTCATAGTTGAGGTATACCTATGATGAAAATTACAGGCCTCTCTCATCTTTTTAAGTGGGAGAACTTGCACAATTGGTGGCCGACTAAATACTTTTTTGCCCCACTGTATATGTACTGTTGTCCTGTATCAGTGTGATGACTCAGCACCATAATATTTTGTCTATATTTATCATTGCCTTTCTCATTGCCTTCTTTGGGTTTCTCATGGTCATTTTTGCACAAAAGATTCTTTTAATTTCTGCATTTTGCTTAAATAAAACTGTTTTCCCTATTTGATTGTTATCCTCTATTTCTTTGCATGCCTTTTCTTGCTTTTCTTTAACTGAATTTAGCATTTAGTTGGGCAACATTTCCTCTATCTCTGCTGCTTTTTCCTTTCCATATTTTATTCAGCTATTTTCAATGTATCAGCAGGGCGCCATTTTCTTTCTTTTAGATTTTGAATTGCAGCAAATTTTTGTTTGCTTCACGATATCACAAATTTCAGTTCAGAGTTCTTCAGGCACTATTGATCAAATATAATCCATTCAATCTTCTCCTCAAGCTCACTGCATAATCAGACAGGGTGTTGTTGACATATCTTGTTGGTCTGATGGTTTTAATTGTTTTCTCAAGTTTAAGTTTTAATTTTGCAAGAAGAAATGTGTGATCTGAGACTCAGTCAGCACCAGGTCTTGTTTTTGCTGATTGAATAGAGCTTCTACAACCATCTAGTTTTCCCTCCAAAAGTATTAGCTTATCATTTGTTTGATTCTATCTCTGGAATATTGCAATCCCATAAAATCTTGAGTTAAAAATGTCATCATCATCATCATCATCATCATCATCATCTCCAATTCTTGCATGGGGTAGATAAGCAATCTTTTATAACTCAAACCAAGTTAACAATCATGCTATTCTTTTAAACAGTTCATGTACAAACCTCTAGGAAAATCGACCTCGATATCAAGACCTGGCTCATATGGAACATCAGGCAAGCTCATCTGTGTTTCTGCCACAGAATTAAGCAGTTCTGTATCAGTTATTACATCTATAATCAAAGAAAGACAAACATGCTACCATTCTTATAATCAATGCAATATTCAGTAAAGATGATTCAGAGCCATAGAGCAGCAAAAGCAGGCAAAAATACAAAAATATCTGATATAAATTGGCCTTTATACATTAAAGTGATATGTAATATTTAAGGGGAAAGAAGGGCTATTCATTCAAGAAAAACTTCAAAAGAATGAAAAAAGCAGCAAGGCTGGTGAAAATTAGATGAGGTTATGTATTTGGACCACTGCAGAACTGAAAGCTCTTCGGGCCCGCTACAGAAGCCAGGAATTAACAGTACAATGCTCGCAGGCACCATGATACACATGATCCTCTTCCCAGATAAGTGTCCATGAGATACCAAAACCAAATAAAAATGAGTTTTAGAACTTATACAGTGGTACCTCTAGTTACGAACTTAATCCGTTCCGTGACTCTGGTTGCAACTCGAGTTGGTCTCAAGTCGAGGTA